TTTACCTAAATAATCATATTGCTACAATGTTACCCTGGATAATACATATGTGTTACTCGGATAATGACTTTAGTTATCCAGATAACAAGCTTAGTTAACTAGACAACATGTTGCAATTATTGTCCAATTAAACTTCTAATGACTATATTTTCATACAAGGACTATATAAATAGGTTTTCTATGTACATTTGAACATGACACATCATAATTTTCTCTTACTAGTGATCATTTCCTATTTGATGCCAGCAAAAATAATTATCCTGTGATATGGGCATTTTATTATAATCTGAGCGTGGGGAATGGACTAAGTAAAAGGCTCAACCTACTAGTCTAGATCAATATTTGATTTGAAAAAAAAAGGTTCCTATAAATTTTGTATAGGATATTCCCTTTCATAGGGAAGTAGAAAATTAAGATAAAATATCAAATGAGATTTATGTCAGAAAGGAATCCATTAGTTATTATCTCGCACTTGTTAGCTATCTTCTGAAGATAGGCCTTGGTTGTGCACTTTATTGTGCTTGAATCCAACTCTATTACAAAATTATGGTCCTGCAATTCTGTGATGCACCATCGTGGAGAGTGTTGAAGAGTAACCATCAAGAGCACTTACTTGTTTACAATGAAGTTGAGATGCCAAGGTGCCGAATATTATAATGACTTGCCCTCATTTATGACCATTGGATTGGCTGTGATCAATGTTGTCAAAATTGAGTTTCTACGTAGAAACGGAAGGGGATGGTGGAAACGTAAATTGTAAAAATGACACAAAACGTAAAGTTTCTACTACTTAAGGTCAAGATACAAAATTATATAAAAAAATATCACATAAGTCGCTACTCAAAATTCAATGAACAACTTCATATTTAAAAGATATAAGTCATATAATATATAAGACATAAGTTTAAAAACATAAAAAAGAGTTTAACAATTCCTACAACAAGTTCCAAAACATCAAAAGAACAAAGTTTAATAACTTTTAAATTATATCAATTGATTCAAATCAAATAGATCAATTGCATGTCCTCAATGTCCTCTTCTCTTGCTCCTATAACAAGTTCATTTGCAATAAAATGTAATAGATTGATTCAAAATCCACCTCAGCTTGGTACTCAAACTTTTCACTTGTGGCTTCACCCTCTTCTTTTTCTGTAACAGCGACCGCACGCGAGGGTTTTTTTTCTAGATAGCTAGAAGAAGATACTGTGCATTTTGATTTGGGAGAAATGAAACTAGAAATTTTTAGAAAAAAAACCTAGTCATAGGTTAAAAGTTGACTCGATTCATCTTTTTTTGTATAAGACTCGTTTTAGTTTTTTGGTTTAAGCAAAAATGTAGAAACTTGCATTTTTTACCATTTTTACACAGAGTTTTTACTGAGGAGAGTTTTTACTTGTGTTTTAACAACGTAAAAACATAAGTTTTTATATTCTTACACTAGTTTTTGACAACAATGGTTGTGATGCTCTGTTTCACTAACTCCTTCCATAACTCTGAAACTTGAGGAAGTTTCTCTTATAAATAAGGGTGGAGCTCTTTGCTAATAGTTTTACTTTTGTCTTTTTAAATTTATTCCTTGTAGTTTTACTTTTGTCTTTATTATCGACGAAATTTTTCGATGAAAAAAATTCCGTGGAAATTACTGACGAAATTTTCGCACAGAATTTTCGACAGAATTCATTTTTCGTTGAATTTTTTTGACAAAAAATTGATTACGTAGAAACTTTTACGATGGAAAATGGATTCCATCGAAGATTTTCGACGGAAAATGAATTCCGTCGAAAATGGATGAATAAAATAAATGTAAAAAAAATTAATTTTGTGAAGATTTTCGACGGAAAATGAATTTCATCGAAAATGATTGAATAAAATAAATGTAAAAGAAATTAATTTTGTGAAGATTTTCGACAGAAAACGGATTAAGTCGAAGATTTTCGACGGAAAATGAATTCCATCGAAAATGGATGAATAAAATAAATTGTAAAAGAAATTAATTTTGTGAAGGTTTTTGACGGAAAATGGATTTCGTCGATGATTTTCGACGAAAAATGGATTCCGTCGAAAATGGATGAATAAAATAAATTGTAAAAGAAATTAATTTTGTGAAGGTTTTCAACGGAAAATGGATTTCGTCGAAGATTTTCTACGTAAAATGAATTCCGTCGAAAATGGATGAGAAAATAAATTGTAAAGAAATTAATTTTGTGAAGGTTTTCGACGAAAAATGAATTCCGTCGAAGATTTTCGACAAAAAATGAATTCCATAAAAAACGGTTGAATAAAATAAATGCAAAAAAAATTAATTTTTGTGAAGGTTTTGGACGGAAAATGGATTCCGTCGAAGATTTTCGATGGAAAAAGAATTCCATCGAAAATGAATTAATAAAATAAATTGTTAAAAAAATTATTTTTTCACATCTTCTCTCCTAAAGTCCCCTCTCAAAATGTTTTCCCCCTCGTGAACATTAAGAATTTGAGCGGCAATCAATGTCCCTTTCCCACTTCCCTCTCCAAGGCCCTTTCTCTTAGAAATGAAGACGCTCGCTCCTTTTTCATGTTGTCGCTTCTTCAGGTCACTCATTTATCCTTCTTTCTCATGAAATTTTTCTGGGTTTTTTTTTTATATTTGCTATTTGGTTAGGTTTCCGGTGGAGTTGGGTAGCATAGAATCGATGATACCTTTGCATAGTGCGGTAGCTTCAGCACGATTAGTATCAAGTTTGTGCATTGAATCTCTATATTGGTGTTTAGTTCCTCAAGGTGAGTTCATGAGTAATGTCCTTGTGGGTGTGTGAGATTGAACTTGAGGATAAGAATGTTCTTGAAGAAACCCTCACACTCACAATCCCCTGATCCTCTTCTTATTCTTCCCTCGTCATTGTCTACGATCAACTCGACAGCTACATCACCGACCCAATGAGCTCCTCCGAAAGTTTCCAGAACGAGGGGTTTTTGTGGCTTAGACTGTAACTAACTACGCTTGTGTCATTTGTGGTGCTTGTACAGGCACTTGCATTTAAAATGGCTTTGGAAGCAAAGGGCCTCTCATCAAATGTCTACGTTGGGATGCGGTGCTGGTACCATTCACTGAAGAAGCAGTTCAACAAGTAAGTTCGTTTACTTTTTTGGTCAAATGTCACCACTCTGCTTTTTTCTCATCATTGCTTAAAAAAATTGAAGGATATATGGTGTATTTTGTTTCAATTTTTACCATGGAGTCCATTGAAGAGTAGGAAAGCTTAGCTTTGCTTCCAGGAGTCCATTGAAGATTCCTTCTATGTGTATCTTGTTTTTTTCTTGGGGTAGTACTACTAGACCTTCACCTTCATGGTGTTCTACCTCTGACTCTGGGAGTGACCATGCGACCCTATTACCCTTGTTCAAGGCAGCATGTTCCTTAAATATCTTCGGAGTCTCTAGCAACGATGCAAGGAGGGGGTATTTATCTTCTAGAGCTGATCCTTTTTCACAAGCTTTCTCAGAAGGTCGATTGGATTCTAAAAAATCTTTAGCCTGCCTCGATATCTCCTTCGAAAATCCTATTTGGAAATGAATGCTCTGTATATACATATCATCATCTACACGATCCTCTCGTTCTAGAAGGTCCAAAGCTTCCTTCAACACTCCATCAAACATTTGTTCTAGACATGAGCTCTCTATTCCCTTCAATTGTTCCATCATAGGATCCCTTGTAGGAATTATTGTCTGTGATATGTTAGCTATATCATTCACATCCTGAAAGACCAACGCTAAAGCAACAATAGGGAACTTCCCACGAGCCCAGAAATGAGGATTCCCTCCATTGCCTCTAAAGTCAAACCATTCTGGAATCTCAGTTTGGGGCATCACAACTTCTAATCCACGTATCTCTTTTGACACCTATCATATCACAAAAACCAATTTTGTTAATAAAATAAGAGAAATATACATCATAACATACTCTCTTTAAGGTGTAAAGAAATAGTGTGCAAACGTTGTTTTCCTAAGATAAAGGTATAAGATTTTAGCACAAGTAATAAAGTGGTGATACCTGAGACCATAACATGGTTGACGTCTCTCTAGTTAAGGAGAAGCAGTATCCTACATCTACTTTCTGAATAGTATATGGCAAATCTGAAATGTCCTCAAGCTCACACAGCGATGGACATTAAGAATCCTCTATGAACCTTGTAAGGATTCTCGAAGTTGAGAACATCCTCCAATTTTAAAGGCAACAACATTTGGCAACATCAATAAGCTACTTGGTAGATATCTGAGTTTCCTGCTACCTGGCATCTCAATACAAACAAGCCCAATAATATTACCAATGCTCCACGGTGTGTTCTTATATTACTAGCCTATTTAATCCAGTGCTCCACGGGTTGCATTTTTGTATCATCATGGTTTGCTTCTAAATGTTCACAACAGTGCTCTCAAGCAAAGAATCGCTGCCCTGGCACAAGCCAAGATCTTCGAAGATGGTACTTGATTTACCTATTATCTGTTTCTGAACTATATTATCTGCATTGATTGTTCTTATTTAAGAAGCTGATTTATTTATTTATTTGGTAAACTAGAAGCTGATTTTATTACTGAATGATTTTGTTAATGTTGAAACAATTAAGTTTAAATAAGAGATAATGTTTCAAGGCTTTAAAAGCTATAAGAACCTTTTAATAAGATGTACAACTTTTCTGAAATTATTATTTGTTAAGAGTTAGTTTTGTATCTGATTAAAGTGTAAGAGTATGCTACTTGCTATAGGATTAGTTTATATTTTTATTTTATTTTTCAAATGTGAAATTAATCTGAGTTTTACATATCTAACTGCAGCAGTCACGTGATGTGTTTACTTTAAAGAGAGGATGATTGGAATGCAGGGAAACCCATTTGCACCAGTGACATTAAAGAGAGGATGCTATCCAATTTTGCATGTGCCTCCAATTTCCAAATGGTGGGTGAGGAATTGTAAACAACATTCGTGTTGCTGCTATCCTTGGTTCCACATTGAATGGAGAGTTCGAAGATGTCAAGCTCTTGAATGATGTCCTAATCGAAAAGAATAAGGAAACTGGGTCTCTCTCTCTCTCACTCTATGAGTTTGTGTATTGAACAGATTGGTTGAGGCTTAACTGACATGTGAAATCCTTTGGTAGATGGGACACTCCAATTCATGTGGATGCAGCCAGTGGTGGATTCGCGCCATTTCTTTATCTAGAGCTTAAGTGGGACTTCCGGTTGCCACTAGTGAAGAGCATCAACGTTAGTGGACATAATCACATAAATATGATCTAGTCTATGCAGGAATTGGTTGGGTCATCTAGAGAAGCAAGGAAGACCTTCATGAGGAACTCATCTTCCACATTAACTATCTCTGAGCAGATCAACCCACCTTCACCCTCAACTTCTCCAAAGGTAACATACAATTCACACGCTCAATTGTTCTAACTACTAACTAGAATAGACCTGAATTACTTTCTTTCAATTTGTACCATTTATATTAGTCGTTTATTATGCATTATAGTGATTTCTTTCATAAAATATGCAAGGTTGGAAACTTTATTATTTTCATTCAAGGTTGAAAACTTTCAAATTTCAGTTTCAATTTCACAATTAATTTCCAAATTCCACTTTCAATTTCACAATAAATGTCATTTACTATTTTCTTTTAAGGTGAAAACTTTGAAATTCGAATTTCAATCAATGTCATTTAGTGAAAACTTTGAAATTCGAATTTCACAATCAATGCATTTAATATTTTCACTTAAGAAGCACGAGAGACTTCTGCATGTTTGACACCTCTCCATCCCTCAAGCTCCCACGGTTACTGCCTTTTGACCAATTGTCCAAACTTTTCAATTCCATTCCAAGTTACTACCCATTTCTTAAATTTATTTTAAAAACATGATCTTAAAATATACATAATTTTGAGGCTATGTCCAGAACATAGGGTATTATATTTGTGTTTAGATTAAATCATTAAATTCTGTTCTTGTGAATATTTTAGATTAAATCTTATTTTCATAGTTTGTTTGAGCAAGTAATGATATTACAGTAAGTATTGCAATGCAGTGAGGAATTTAATAATTCACCACGAAAATGAAAGTGATGCTGACATTAAACAGATGGCAGAACAGAAGAGGAGGAAGTCCAATTTGCAGCTACAAATGATGATGAAGTGATGAGGTTGAGCGCAGAAATTGTGAGACTTAGTGAAGAGAACACTCGCAAGTTCCATTATGTATTGTAGTTTTTCAAATTCTTTGTATACGATTCATATTTTTCATTATGTTAGTTTTAATTTGTAAATGTGATATTAAATACAATTAATATTTTTCATAATGTATTGTAGTTTTTGGGCATTGATCTTAGTTTAATTGTGCATTATATGCTTGAAAATCTTATTTATTTATTGAATCAAAATTCATATGAAAGATATTTTTTTAAAAAAATTAATTCAAATATTATTGGTGAAATTTAATCAATTTTTAAAAAATTAATTCAAAATTTTCGACGGAAAACAAATTTCGTCGAAGATTTTCGATGGAAACGAATTTCGTCAAAGATTTTTCACCGAAACAAATTTCGTCAAAGATTTTCTACGGAAAATGGATTCCGTCGAAGATTTCCACGGAACAAATTTCGTCGAATATTTTCCACGGAAACAAATTCCGTCGAATATTTTCCACGGACACAAGTTCCGTCGAAGATTTTTGATGGAAATAAATTTCGTTGAATACTTTTGACCGAATTTTTAATTCCGTGAAAAAATGGGCTACCAACGAAGCAGAATTTGACAGCTTGAATTCTGTTTAAAACTTCAATTTTGACGAAATTTATACCATTTTTGACGAAATTTTTCCGTCAAAAAAATGGACTTTTTTAGTAGTGTTGTATTGCAACCCTTTATATTCCTATTCAAACCTCTCCTTTCTTGTGGCACAATTGCCATTGTTGAGAAAGCTTATGCTAGATGTTGGAGTGTTTTTTGATGGTAGCTAAACAAACATATGAGAAAATAATCATAGTAATCTCAAGGTTATCTAACTATAAGATTTTCAACCGCATACGCACAGTAAAATAACCATTTTATTGTTATCAAAAAAAAAAAAAATAACCATTTTATAAACATATAAGTCATTCTTGCTAGAAATGAGTGTTTGAATGTTAACTTTAAAAACAAAAAACCTAAAATCCTACTCTCTTTTTTAATACTTTTTTATTTAAGTTAAAATCCCTGTCTTTTAGGAAAAACAAAAACCAAAAGTTAAATTTTTTTTTCAAAATCTAAATTTGCTCAAACCCCAACTCCATCCAATCTCACCTTTGTATCTATCGTTGTCACTGTCATCGCTACCTCCTTTACCATAGCAACCACCACCACCACCACAATCATTGCCCCCTGCCACCACCCATACCACCGCTACCACCCCACCTCCACCACCCTGCTAACACTATTTTTGCCTCCACCATCCCACCACTGCCATCACCACCTCCCTTTTGCCGCCATTAACTCCAAATCTTGCTTCCATATTTTATTTTTACATGTCATTTTTGTAATTTTATACATAAAAAGTGCTTTTAAATTTTAATATACAAATAATTTTTTAAATTAAAAGTTCTTTTCACATGTTATATCTAAATGCAAAATAACTTTAACGTAAAAAAATCCTTCGAAAATAAATAAGATATATATTTTTAGGATATGTTATTCTGTTTACCATTGTTTATACCTGTCAACACCGTTAGATTACAATCTCATCTAACGATGGAGATTTGCGGAGTAAATAAACCTGTTTGTCCATTTCTTTCTCCTCGTTGCCTCCCATACCCTTTCTCTCTATCGCACCATATCGTACAAGAAGAACTTTAGGTATCGTACCCACAACAAGCTCACGGCTTCGCACATTTGAAAATTGTAGATTTGAAACAAATCCAGTTGGGGTAGGCAACCTTTTTCACTTTTTTTAATCTTATTTTTGTACATTTTAAAGTCGCACATTTGCTCCTCACGGTAATACTTGTTCATTCATGAGAGTTAGCGTCATATAATTTGACAACATAATTCACCAATTGATCAAGTGTCCCATATAACAGCCTGTTGTACACTGGTATTAACATTAATTATGATATTAAGCGCAGTTACAATCACAGCAATTCATTTATAAAAATGCGAGTAAACTTTTTCCGTTTATTACGCGAGCGTTTAAAACAATAAAAGCGTAATAAATAAAAGCTGTGACCGTAACTGTAAACTCTTTGCGGAATAATTATTTAAACAACTTATATAACTTATTTTACAACTCTCAAGTCACTAAGGGGTTCCCATAAACTCACTTAGCCAAAGTTGCAAGTAGATTCATTCGAAGAGGAGAAGTAGACTTGAGCATGAAAAGTTGCAAGATTTGGTTTTCATTAAGTATAATCAAGCACTCAAAGAACGCTTTGACAATCGTGATTTGATTGACCCCATTCTCCTAAATGACATTGATGATAGTAATGAGTGGTTGCTAGGAGGTGGGAATGATGAAAATGCTAAAAATGACTTTGTTTTTGGTGATGATGGCTTGACTTGGGGAAATGTTGCAACTGCAAGTGGGGCTAGCCAACCTTTACAGTATACTAGGCGACGGACAAGATTGCAAGGGCAAGCTAGAGAAACACTTTCAAGCTCTAAGGGAAGGGGAAAACAAAAAGGAAATGCAACTATAGAAGTTGAGGAAGAAGATGAAGAGGAACAAAGTGGTGATGAAGACATTGAAGAGGAAAAAGAAGAGATTTACAACTTAGAGACAAGTGAAAGTGAAGATGAAGATTTGGATGCTCATGATTCCAATTCGGATTAGTTCCTTAAGTTCTTTGATAATTGATTATGACATCTCACTTAAGTGCCAGTTTGAATTTTTTGCCACTTTATTTTGTTGTGTTACATTATTTGAGACTTTAGTTCCTCCAATTTGCTTATGGTTTGAACTTTAATGTTTGAAATCATTTATGTTTGAGTTTGACATCCTTCAAATTTGTTTTTTATGTCACATTTTCATTTTTAAAATTTTATATTTATGGAGTACAATTTAGTGTATCACTTAGGTACACTTTGCACAGTAGCGTTGTAACGTTACACGTTATAGCGCTATAGCAGTTTAGAGGGTCGGCCGCTACGCGCCGCTATCCGAGATTAATAAGTATGGGTAGGATATGGTGCGATAGATAGAAAGAAGAGAAGAGAGAATGGGTGTGGAAGATAGTAAGGAGAAAGAAAGAGGGAAAAAAATTTATTTTATTCCGTAAATCTTCACCTTTAAATGAGATTGTATTCTAACGATGCTGAAAGATGTAGACAAGTGATAGAAAAAATAAAGTAGATAGAATAACCTATCATTTTTTTAAAAATTTGTACTGCACAAAAATCAAATCAAATTAATTTAATTGAATAAATTTGAATTCTACAATACAACTTAACTAATTTTTTTTTGTTTTACAAATCGCCCAAACTAAGAGATATTTATTGTGGGGCTACTATAATGTCGAGTGCTAAATCATAATAAAGCATCCCTAATATATAACATAATGTTAAACCCATTATTTTAGGGTCACTGTCACATCAAATATTGGTTAAAATTATATATTCTTTTTGCCTATTTGCTTCCCTCCCATAGTCCCATAGACTTAATAAATCAACTTGGGGCTATCTAGGTTTAAAATGACTAAAAAAAATTTCTTTTATTTTTTTTTCGCTTCTGTGGCCCAGTATCCTGTAGTCTTCTTTACAGACATGTGATTCAATGTTAGGAGCTGTTTGGTTGAAGGCATTTGTTGAGAATGATAGATAAATGAGTAGTGGGAATATCAGATACCTACATTTGGTTGAAGGTGGTTCCTGACTTAGCTACCTAAATGGGTTCCTAGCAAGGGTCAGGATCATTTTACACCAGTGTAACTTACACTCTCATTCTTGTCCACTGATTCCACTTATATCTAAGGGTTCAAATTTTTTAATAATGTGAGCCATTTGATACAAGTGGATCAATGATCAAGATTGAGTGTAAGACTTATAACTCTTACACTAGTGTAAGAATATCCTGCCCCTCCTACCAAACGTATTTGCATATCAATTTGAAGACATATTGCCGGCCAAAGTTACCCTTCTCCTAGGTGGTATTAGTGAAAAATTGGATATTTTCTCACAAGGAAAAGGTGCCCAAAGACGAGCATACCCTTCTCGTAGTTGTTTGGGATCTATGAGCCACTTGGCATCCAAATTGAACTCTCCAACAAAGTGAATCTCGTTACCAGATCCCATTCTACTTTCCCTCAAGAAGATGTGAAACTAAGTAGTATAACAAGTAACAGAATCACTCACACACAACAAAAAGACCATGCCCTTCAATACACTACAAGGAACAACTCAAAGACACGTGGTTGAAATGAATCAAAGGTACACAACAGCAAAGAGGTAGCTTTCATTTCTGGGTTTGACAAAAGAATTGTTTAACTGGGTACCCAAAAGTCACCTTTCCCAATAAAGAGTTTAGAAGCACCCACCAAAACTAATGAATGAAGTAAAAGGTTGAAAAGAGGCACCAAAACTAAATGACCCAGATGGAGATTTGGGACAAAATGGAGAAGATGGTTGGTGTAGTTGGATGAGAAGAGATGAACATTGGGATTTGACTTGATGTGTACGGGTAGAGTAGCATGCCACCGTAAATAAATTTTACAAACAGGGTTATTTTCGTAAAGTTACCTAATATTTCTATCTATATTTTACCTACAACCAAACATAGATTTTAAAAAAGTTATCTAATTTCTCCGGTAAATTTTTTTCCAATCAAACAACTTTTTTTTACATTTTCCTACCTATCTCACTTTCCAACCACAATTTATGAGAAACCACAATTTTAACTAAATGGATCCACTTTGAATTTCGTAGGGATCTCGAGACTAATTTTTTTTTGTAAGAGACTAAAATTTAGACCATATTTTTTATTAGGGACCCAAAAAAGACTTTGCCCATAAATTATTATCCAGAGCATTTCCACTGTTCCACATATAATTTCACTAAACTTCAAATAGGTCCGTATAATTTACAAGTCTTTTTTAACAAATTTGTTATACCTCTATCAATTTTTGAAGAGTGAATATTCAAATTAATCCTCCAAAGATACGTAGGACATCACGTTAGTCCTTAGGGGGTGTTTGGTTCAAGTTTTTGGAGAGGATTACCGGTAATCCTTCTTTGGTAAATGTAATTACCACGTTTGGTAGAAGGAATAAATTACGATTTCCGGATATCCAAGGATTACCGGTAATTTGATTTATAAAGAAAAGTCACTATTCAGATTACCAAAAATAATATGGTAATTCGGAATACCAATCAGAATACCAAGTAAAGGGAAAGCACAACAATAAATTTTGAGACAAAAATACCCCAATACACATAAAAATCTAGACCCAATCTATCAATTACAAAAGTAAAAATAGTTTGGGGTTATTTTTGTAAAATAACCTCATATTCCAAGTCATATTTCGTTCTAAACCAAATATGGAATCAGTAATTTTTACCCAGTATTCCCGGTAATATTTTGGCGAACCAAACACATCTTTCGTAAGATTCCAAGTAAACTCAATTTCTACTGAATTCCCATTAATCATGATTCCCGGTCACCAAAAAATTTCTCCTGTACCAAACACATAGTTAACGATTTTGCACATCAATTTAATCCATGCATCTTTTGACATTAATTTGATTTTATAAGTTGTTACTTTTTTTACATTACAAAGCACTGAATTTATATCCAAAATTTCTATCGGACCAAATTGATATCTTATGCATTTTCAAATTACTAATTTGAACAAGGTTGTTAAATCGCAATACGTATCATGTATTGTTTGGTCTATTTTTTATATCATGTATCGTGAATCGTATCTAATCATAAGAAACAGAAACATAATTTAAAAATATATATTAAAATATTTATTTAGTTATTTCTTTTATTAATATAGAATTTTTATATTGATTTTTGAGTTTAAATCACAAAACAAATCTTTATTTTCTTTTCCTTATTAATAATAATTTTTTAGATTTTTTTAATTAAAATCATAAACTAAATCTTTATTTCTTTTTTTTTTATAAAAATTATAAATTTTGATTTAATTTTCATATCGTATGATACACTATACGTATCGTATTGTACGATATAAATCCCGTTCTGATACACCTCACAATATGTATTGTTGTATTTGTGAATCATATCGTATTGTTCGAATGATATCGTATATCGTACTATAAATTGAATATCTATTCTTGCTAACCGCAACCGCGATTTGACAATGTTAATAAATATACATTTATATATCAAATAGTAGTAGCTCAATTGGTGCATAGGAGCTAAGCAGGTGGGGGTGAAAGCATGCGTTTGAATCTCTCTAGTACCACCTTTGTGAGGGGTTTAAAGCCTTAATCCTGAACCCGTCCCGAATCGAATTAGTTGCGAATCAATGAACCGATTGGAATATTTCCCAAAAAAAAATATACATTTATATATACTTCTAGATCCCATTCTTTGATATGGTTATATGTTAAAGAAATTAAATTATAAAATTTTATAATTACTGATATTTTAATTGAAAATTAGCTAAATTATTATGACTGTTTAAATATTAAAAATATAAAGACTTAGTTAATTATAATAAAAAAAAATTCTTAACTATTTTCAGCTATATTGCACCGACACCGACATGGGACATGAGACACGATACGACATGACACTTCGACACGTTAATTCTACAAAATATTAGATTTCTTCAACACGTTAGGACACATTTTGATACTAAATAATATTTTTAATTTATGTAATATATATTATATTTAATATTTAATAATTTAGCAAAAAAATAAAACTAAACTTATAAAATCCATTATTTTTGTAAAGAAACGTAAGGTGTAAATATTTATTATTATATTTTCAAATTAAAAATCTCTTATACACTTCAGTTAAATTTATTAAGTATCCATTTTTAATTTTTATTATATCAGTTTGGTAAAACATCAATCAATTTTTCATGATATATAATAAAATTTCAAATATTATAGATGTCGGAGCATGTCAGAGTATTGGGGAGTATCAGACACGAACTTCAAATTTTTTTGAAGTATGGCTGCAACATAAATTTCCAGGGGGAAGGATGTTGTAACTAGGGGTGTTAATGGGCCGGGCCGAGCCGAGCTTTGATCTTAAAAGGCTAAGCTTGTGTTTAAATGCGTCAGCTTGATCAAGCATGTTACCTGTTATGAATATAATTATCGGCCTGTGGCCTGACTTATTTACAAAAAATAAAAGCCTGATTTAGCCTGTTTTAAAAAAATAAGACAACAAAAATTCATCCAAACAGAATGTACAATCAACAACACTAGTAATTCCATAAATATTCATAAAGTCAATGTATATCCAAATAACATAATATAAAACCAAATCATTCAAAAAATTTGTTTAACCAATAAAATAGGGTGAAATAGATTATGGAGAGAGTGGGGGGGGGGGGGGGGGTGATTACAAGTAGTATAAAAAATTTAAAAAAAAATAATATACTAGGTCAGTCTGAGAGGCTCTAAGACCGAACTTGAGGCCTTTTTATTAAACGAGCTTTTATACAAGTCAAAACCTGATTCCAACGACCAATTTAGGCATGTAAGCTCAGGCATTCACGAGCCAAGCCAAAGGCTCCTGGTTCGTTTGTCACCCCTAATTGTAACACTACTAATGTTACTACCAATCAATTTCACTGTTAGATCGATTATGTGGATCTAACAGTTATATTTGTTTTCATCTTTGTATGGTTATGATTCCCCATATTTAATATTTTATATTTATTTTCACCTTTGTATGATTATAATTTCTAATATTTAATGCTTTCACATTAAATATGAGGAATAATAATCATACAAAAATGAAAATAAATATAATCTTTGGATCAACATAATTGATCTAACGGTAAAATTGATTGGTAATAACACTAATTGGTTGTTATAATATCTTTACCCTTAATTGTATATAGTTTTTACATAATTTTGAAATAAGTTATTATATCACTGAGCACATGGATGAATTCAACGGCAGGGATGATTCTAACTTTTTTTATCTTTGGTTGAAAATTCTAACTTAATCAGTAATCAGTTCGAATTTTGTAAATAGAGATTTTATGCCTTTATGATACTGCTTGAACCCAATTACTCCGGAAATCAAATAGGGTTTTATAAAAGTTACGTGGGAGGAAAAATAATTCTGTCATGTTATAGAGATTCGTTTTTTGTATCTTAGATTTTTTTTTTATGCTTCAAAAAATGCAGGTCTCTTAAAATGTTATGTGTGTAGAAAAAATGATTGTATCATGTTGCATGATGAATATAAACTCTATGTGTGTAAGAAAAATGATTGTATCATGTTGCATAATGAATATAAACCCCAATCAAATAACCAGTGAAAGAAAAAGTTACTATAGTCAATTAAGTTTTTTAAATTGTAACTGTAATTTAACTAACTTTTCAATTAAATTATCATCAATTATAAAATTTTATAATTAAATTTCTGCAACATATAACCATATCAAAGAAGGGAAATGTTTTTTTTTATGTTGTTGGAGATAGTTATCTTATGTTAGTGAAATAAAATTATAAAAGGAACCCACAAATAATTGAAGAGAGAAAAATAGAAGTATGACCTACCTTTGTTATGTGTACGTACAGAGGTGAGACTCACCTTTGTTATGTGTACGTAGAAATTTGATTTATCTTATGTTGAATGAGATAAATATAACCCATCAAAAAATGGACTCTCTTTGTACTAAAAAAGAAAAAAGAATGGACTTTCTAGGTGTATATAAGTTAAATATTTATTAACTCTGTCAAATGACGATTGCGGTTACAAAGAATTAGATATTCAAATTAGTCATCTGAAAATTGGGATAGGATATTATAAGAATCAAGTAGTATTATTATTAATATTATTATCAGTCAATTTTATCATTATATAAATTATGTTGATCTAATAATTATACTTATTTTTATCTTTATATGTTTATGATTCCTTATATTTAATGTAAAAAATCATAATAATAAAAATATTAAATATGAAAAATCATAATCATACAAAAATAGAAATAAATATAACTATTTAATTAACATAATCAATCTAGGGGAATGATCCGTTTACAATTTTTTTTTACAAATTTTTGCAAATTACACTATGTACTTCTGGGATGGAAGAACATAGTATAACCTAGTGTTTTCCCGAAAAAACATAGCGTATTTTGTTAGAGTTTGTAAATAAAAAGTTTGTAAATTTAAATCTCTCCATTAATTTAATAATAATTTGATTGATAATAATATTAATTAGTTATTATACTAAATTACTAGTTAACAGTTAGCACTAGGAAACCACAAGAAGTCAAAAACCTTAAAACCAGTAGGGCATGATAAACTGTTTCAGTGTCTCTGCAAAATAGAAGGAAATCTGAGAATGGTGGCGACGAACGTGAAGGCAGAAACCATGTCTTTGATGGACAAGCGGAATGCGGTGGAGGCTGAGATGAACGCCATCATCGCTCGCCTCTCTCAGCCTGGCGCTCCTGGTCTTTCCGGAAATCTCGTTGATTCTGAGGTTTTCTCCTTTCTCTTTTTTCTTTTCTAAGATTTCCCACAACACAAATTTTAAGTATCTAATATTACTTGAAAGTGACGATGCTTGATTTTCTAGGGCTTTCCTCGTACGGATATTGATATTCCAGCTGTTCGAGCTGAACGACGTCGTCTTGCAGGTTGGTCTTTTCAATCGTATATTAACAATATTGATTAACATAAATTTTGCGCTAAAAATTGGTACAAAATATTGATGCACTAAATACGGGGTTTGAACTTTGAAGGCCATAATCTCTCATGGTTTAGCAAGTACCAATTTCTAAGTGTTGAATAGTTTAGTTAACTTTTTAAGGGTTTCAATTCAAGTCTCACTGTATTATAAGTGAGGGATAAGTATTGAGACACTCGTATAAATTATAACACATGGATTATTTTTCAGCATCTTCTGTCTTACATGGCATCATGTGTTATAATTTAAGTGGATGTAGCATTGAGTCCTACAGGAGCACTAAAAATTTTCTCCTCGGGTAGTGTCATTGTTACGTCAACGTGCTGCCATTTTGCTCTTTTGTAATTTTTATTCTCTTTGCAGAGCTGCGTAATGACCACAAGGAGATAACTGAGAAAATAAATCAAAATATACAAATTTTACACTCAGCAAGACTTGGAAATAGATCATCACCCTTCCAGAGTTCAGGTAGCACCATAAAATCAATCTTCTTATATCGTTTGTTTGAAGTAACTTTGGCTTCTTATTGATGTTACATAGTGGAACATTCTTTGCTCTTGAAGACAATATATTCTGCATCACATATGTACAAGTGACATTTGTTAGGTTTTTTTCACTCAAACCACATGATTCTTCATTGAACTTGATTTAGGGTACTTCCTAAAAGTAAGTCAGAGTGTCAGACTATGTCCCTATACTATCCATATCCAAATAGAATTAAATCAATTAGAAGCTTGTAACTTTTTAAATGTATTCGCAAGGTATCTAACTTCCTAACATATAAATTTAAGGGGCTAATGGGGTCATTTGGTACTCAAATGAAACACAACTTCGGAACCAATTTACTATTTCTGCATAACTTTAATTTCTAACCAGCTATTTATTTTAACTTGTTAACCTACATTCACCCACTCATTTGCTATGAAATTCTACCTATATGTGCTTCTAATATACATCATGTTTATTGCATAAATCTGATCATACCAAACTCATGTACTACAACTATCAAACAGCCCTGATTCCAAGGTAACGGCAATAGAACTCCAAATCTGCAAAACATGTGCCACCATGGTACAAATCTGGTTAGTGAGACAGTAGTTTGTAGAATTTAATAAAGTAAGAGACATCATTAGTAGAATTGGGCTGTTTTATTGATAATAAAAAGGAAATAACAAGAGATCATTCTCTTCAAGGAGCACTCTCCTATCTTCTGAGATTTCTCTCAGCCTAAACTTAAAACAAATTTCGGTCTACCTATAGGAGATTAGCCTCCTCCTATTAAGATAAAAGACTTTCAGCATAAAGATAAGATAGCTAACTAAAAAAAAGAGATACTATAACTAACAATCCCAATCCTATCAACTTATGGATTCAAATAATTCAAAAGTGCCCGGCTATAATAACTAATCATGTGGCTAACTAACATGATCATCTGATTAAGGTGATATAACATTATCTTCTGGTTCTGGTGAAGTTGATCTGATCTTTCTGGTATATACTTTTAACGGCTGAGGACCTCTAATGTTTCAGATCGTATCACACCACCTAGATCTTCTATATAAATCAAGTTTATTACATAAATTTGACAGCTCCAAACTCATGTACTACAACTACCAAACAGCCATGATTCTATGGTAACAGAAATAGATCTCAAATTCTGCAGAACATGTGCCACCACCTAGATCTTTTGGTAGGGCTACATATATAATCTATCCAGTCAATTTCAATTTGTATTATGCCACGATCCAAGCATCAATTTAGAATCAAGTGAAGGTAAGTGCAGTCCACAGAGAAAGAAGAGAAGTACATAGAAGGTGGGTGATAAATCCTATTAAAACTAATAAACCAACAAAACAGGGATACCATAAACAGAAAGGTCTCACCAATTCCTTTGCGAATCCATAATAGCACCCTGCTGCCTCCCCCACCGATGTCAAGACTGTGAACTCTGCTGACACCTATGGAGAAGCCAAACAACCATTATACATAGAGTTGCGAGGGAGGAAATCTCTGATGAAAAATTCTAGCTTTATTGTCAAACTATAAGCACATCAACCCTGCAAAAGCCGCCCACTTCTAAAAGATCTTAAAATCTTTCTTTCAACTTAAGCCCCAAAAAGAATTGTTCCAAAGAGGTTGGACAAAGCCACTGCTCCTCAAAGATGCCAAAATCTGATTGTAAATTTGCCATGCAGCCTTGCAGTAATACAACGTAAGAAAAGATGATTGTTTTTCATTGCATTTTGATGTTAAAGTAACTAATTTTCAGATTTCGCAATTGTATTGTTTTCTGAAGTGGGAAGTATGAACGTCTGCTTTAAGCATTTCTTCCTTTCTTCTATGTTTTATTTGAAGGAATATTACTCTCCATATAAGAATATTACTGATATTCATTACATCATGTTGTATGTTTACCTTTATGCTAAGGTATGATGATGGTTCAGATTATTAATTTTCAGATTTCACAATTGTATTGTTTTCTGAAGTGGGAAGTATGAACTTCTGCTTTAAGCATTTCTTCCTTCATTCTATGTTTTCTTTTGACGTAATATTACTCTCTATATAAGAATAACTGATGATATTCATTACATCATGTTGTATGTTTGACTTTCTGCTAAGGTAATGATGATGGTTCAGATACTCAATCTTCTTCAGCTGTAGATGCTGTTGCATCAACACCATCACAAAATGTCCTTCTCAGACATTCCCCCAACTCCATGGATGTGGATGTGCTAGTCAGTAGACCCTTTGCAATGGTTGACGAGATAGCAGATGCATCACCAGCAGTAGAGGATGGTTTACAACTTGGAGATCAAATTTTGAAATTTGGCAATGTGGAAGCAGGTGATAATTTGCTCCAAAGGCTTTCTTCTGAGGCTCAGTCAAACCTGGGCCGTACAGTTGCTGTTGTTATCATGAGGCAAGGCTCAGTGATCAACTTAACTATCACACCTAGAGCTTGGCAAGGCAGAGGTCTTCTGGGGTATGCCTACTGTCCCTATTATTTTGTTCTTTATTATCTAGTGTGCTTTTAGTACCATACGGTCCATACCAGTTTTGTTTTAGAAAAGAGGTAAACATAACTAAAAATAAAATTCCATTCCTTTTACTTTGTCCTACCTTTCCCAAGTCCAATACCCTTGTTGAGATATATAAAACCATTAACGTAATCTCACCCAATAGCTTAAGCTTTTGGGTTGAATCGGTTTTTTACATGGTATCAGAGCCTCGTGTCCCGGGTTCGATCCTCACCGCCCCCCACTTTCTTTGAAGTGGAATTTCTTTCTTCGCACAGGTAGGTGGGCCTGTGCATTGTCCACCCTTCAAGCCCAGTGGGCTTTCGTGTGAGGGGGCGTGTTGAGATATATAAAACCATTAACGTAGCTTCACCTAACAGCTTAAACTTTTGGGTTGAATTGGTTCTTTACAACCCTAATTGACCATTTATTCTACTTAGAAATCTTGTCTAAATATGTCAAAAAATTGGTATATTCTTAAAGCCAATACAACAAATTACTACAGGGTGTTTAGAGTGATTGAAGAACTTTGATAGGTTATTATTTCTCTGGAATTCTTCTAGAGATATCTTTTATCTTGACTTTTCTTTGACCTAAGTGCTACTTTTTTCTTGAGCTGCTTCAATTGGAGGTATATTTGATTTTCCTACTTCCTGTCTTTTTTACTTTTGGTTACAAAATGAGGTCTATGACATAGTATAGCGGAGAGGAATGATAGGCCAAAAAGTTCAATAAGGCTTTGTTTGGGAGTTTGGAGGGGAAGGAAAGGAAAGAAATTCAAGGGAGAGAAAAGGGAAGGAAAGGAAGGAAAATGAAGGGTATTCTCTTCCCTTGTTTGGGAGTCAAAACCCCCCAAATTGGGAGAACTTTAATTTTAAGAAGGGTTTTGTGAAAATCCCTAACTCACTTTTTTAAACTCACAAACAAGGGAAGAGTTTTATTCCCTCCTAAAATTAACTCTCAAACAAGCCCTAAAGCGACAATGAGATCATAGTCCCAAAAGGTCCTATCATGTTTAACATACCAGTGCTGGGGAGCATTGTCTTCAATCATGAAATCACTTTGTCTTGGCTATTTTTGCTCAAAGTCATTGTTGGTTGCACTATTTCCGACAGCAAAATGTTCATATGTGAAAAATTGTTCATTGATCTGAGTTTAATTATTAATTGTGTGGACGGACTTTGTTATTATATTAAATGGCTAGATGCCCTCGAAAATCTCAATGTTCTGTGTTATGGTCTTCGCCAATTCACCATTTATATTCTTTTACCACTAATATAAATTAGTTGAGTTGCTATTAGTGCTGATATATTTATATTTATTGCTAAGCCTTCTCTCTGTTGAATGGTTGCAGATGTCATTTTCGGATCTTGTAGGTGCTATGATTTATTCATCTCATGATGGTGGGTGACGGTTGTTTGTTTCTTTTCTTGCATTTCCGAGACGGAGTTCTTTACCTTTTATTGTTTGTTTTGGCAAGACTCTAAATATGTAGTAAATATTAACGGCGAACCTTTGATTGTGGTGCTCTTTCTTAGTGACTCAATAATGCGCTATGCTTTTTCTGATCGTCTTTCTTTTTAATGAAAAAGTAATCTTAGCTGTCACAATGCCAAATACAAGTTAAGATTTCTTACTTTATGACCCGATTCATACGCTTCTGCAGCTGTCTCGAGATGCAGAAAATAATGAGATCAAGCTCGCTCCACACACAACAGAAATGAAAAACAAGACAAAAAATCATAATCTACATGGTACTATATATTTATAAAGACATCATTCTAGCTCCACAGCATTGAGGATTTAAGTTTAAAGTCATTTACCCGTACAATTTTGTTATATATCACGTGAGCTTGATTCAAACGATTTAGATTGAAGTAAATATATACCTATATAATCATGAATTGTTGCTAGTTCATTTTAAAATTATTGGTTATTTATATACGGGCATTTTATTGTTGGTTAAATATGTTTGGTAAATGATTAATCAATTATCTCAATTATCTCCTAGCATCATAACTAACAGGTAAGTGGTAATTAGTCAACTGGTTAAACTGATTTAGCAGTTAATGTCACATCTCACGTGTGAAGGAAATGTGTATATCATTCATTACTCTTTTAAGCATAGTAGTCAATAGCGGTGTTATTGCGTCGCAAGCCGCACCAGTTGCGCTTTGCGGAGCTTCGCCGCAACCATCCGCGTTGCGTCGCATCATATCGCAATAGCGGCCGTTGCGGTCAAATCTCGCTGCAAGAGTGTTTTTTTATGGTTTTAACCCTAATTTAGTCTCTCTTTCTGCCTTTCTGTTGTGTGTCTCTCTTCTGCCTCTCTTGCTTTCTTTATCGCGCTCGTTTCTTCCCTTCTCTACTTCTCTCTTATATTATTGAAGTTCAATGTGGAAGCTATGAATGAAGAAGTAAAGCTTTGACTGAGAGAAAGAGTGAGGGAGAGAGAAAGAGAGAGAGCAGATGACGAAGAAAAAGTGAGAGAAATAGTAAGAGAGAGAGAGAGAGAATAGATGAAGGAGAAAAGGAGAAACTGTGAGAGAGAGAACGAATGAAAGAGAAAAAGAGAAAAAGAGAGAGAAAGTGATTCTGATCTATCTTTACTCGAAGAAAAGAAAAGTACATTTGTTAAAAAAGTGATTCACAAGTCACGGTAACCAAGTAAGCTGGTTATAGTAACAATGGGTAAAACTATTTCTATATACAAAAAAAGAAAAGAGAAAGAATGCATCATTAAGGTAACTAAGGTAAAACACTAAAGTAACTAAGATAAATCTGATAAATCAGTAAAGTATAGTTACAACTAAAGGTAGTACAACTATAGCTAAAGTTTGGACACTTATTGCTAAGAGGTAACATGTCAACTCTGCCTTTATTTATTTTTTTAAATTATTATTTATCTTTATATTTTTTATTATTTGTATTTTTTTTAGGTGTTATTATTTTTTTAATAATTTATTATGTTACATACACACACACACATATATATATATATATATATATATATATATATATATATATATATATATTTTTTTTTAATAAATATAATTTTTCGTTATTTCCGCAACCGCAACCCGCAATAACGCTATAGCGGTTTTGGGGTTGGCCGCATCAGGCCGCAATCCGCATTTGATAACTATGCTTTTAAGTTTGTGCAAGGTTGTAATAAATATAGTTTTCATGTTTAATACATAAATGACTCCAGCAAACTAACAGGAACTAAAAATAGCAGAAACCAGAAAGTATTCCTCTATCTGGCTATTCAATTATGTGGACGAGCCCTCTTGGATTTGTGGAGTGGGGTTTGCTACGGATTTAAATTATCTTTCTTGAATAATAATATGAGAAAAAGTATTCAATTATTTTAGACAGTTTTGTCTAATGTTTACTGAAATGATGTTGTTTTGGAGTTGAAAAATAAAAAAATAAGAATGATAAAGACTATTATAACCCTGAAATAAATTAAAATTACAAATACACCATGATTTCCGTCCCAGAACGATGTCGTTTCGGTGAACATTAGACAAAGTTGTCTAAAGTAATTTAAGAAAAAACGAACCCTAATAAGATATAGTCTTCTTGAAGAGAACTGAATATAATTTAATTTATTTATGCAAAGATCCATCATGATTGGTTATTGGATTCATTTATTATATTAGAAAAATGTTTTGTTTTTCTCTTTAACAAGATGATATCCGATTATACAAAAATCCAAATCCTGTTTCTAGTCTATAGGTCCGGGTGTCTTGCCCAAAGTATAAAAGTCATGAGAATGCAAAAAGTTCTTAACCATTCCAGTCACGAGCAATCATGTGTCACAATTATCATTTTAGCATGTCTCAAGCAATACCCCACAGTTGCTGGTGATCTCGAAACCAAATGCAGCAGATGTCTATCAACAAGGAAACACGGCCAGTGTTCTATCATTTTCAGCCATTACAAGAGGGGTTCTTCATTCATATGTGATTATAGCTTTTCCAACACGATGCATACATGCGTGTAAGGTAGGCCAAAGGGGCGCCAATAATTAAAACGAAGCAGTGTTACTTTATGGTTGTAACGAGATGCTCTTACGTGTTTTCAGAATAAAAGATAAGTCTTCTTTAGAAGCACTTACACAGACCACGAATTGGTTATCTATTGCCTGCTGTACTTGCTTCAAAGAAACTGATCTTTTAAACTGTACAAAAAATTGTACACCAATTTGTAAGGCAGAAGCCTAGTACTAAATGATTTAATTCACTTCAGCTTTTAGTAATCTACAATCTAAGAATCCATCATGTTTGGGGACTACATGAGATTTATACACAAATTCCCCTCCATCATTACTCAATCTAAGGCTAAGAGAGTATTACACTAACACCACTGTTGAACAATCATTCAGACGGGAAACTCAAATCATCAATGGCAATAGATAGATCGGATTCCATCGCGTTATCACTGTCCTCGTGCTCAGCATTACTATCAATGATGCCATTCTCTTCCCTCCCTTCTGCTGCAGCTATACATTCCTGAAATCTGTAGCAACTGATGATATGGTCATTGGTTAAACCAGCAACTTGCATGAAGGAATATACCACTGTGGGGCCTACACCGCGCAAGCCTCTTCTAACAAGGTCTTTGCTAATAACATCAGCCTTTGGTGTTTTCACAGGAACCTGTCTTGGATATCTGAACCTGTTAACTATGGGCTTGTGGTTCACAAAACTCCAAATATACTTGTCAAAGGACCCAAACTCATCTATGACCTGGCACCAGGAAAAACCTGCAAAAGGTTAGTTGCAATGATAATCATAGGCATAGCCATTATGCAAATTGTGCAATATGCAGTTATGACTGTTCGGTAAAAAAGGGCATTGTAGTGCTAATTGATGGTTGGAAAAGCTAGACATGCTGGCAGGTTAAAGAATCCAAATAAGTGGGTTACATATCACTGTTGCAAACTAGATTACTCTGTACGGAAGATTAATATCATGTTTCTCGACATATGGGGTCATGCATATTGAATAAGGATCAGGACCACCATCCAATTTACCTTTATGACCTGACCTACCTGATCAAATGATCATTGAACACCAATTTTAAGTCATTCAATTGTTCCTTATAGAGACGGGAAAAAAGAAAGTCATCCAATTGATCCAGCAAAATTTGAGACATCCAAGAGGGTCATAGTCATATATGGGTAAGAAAAGTAACTTGAAATCATTTTAAAAAAGGGGAACAAAATGTGTCAATTACCAAATTCTACTTGCAAATTTATTTTCCATAAACTGTGCACAAGCTAATAGTACGACTGCATTTAAGTTCAAGTGACCCCACAATTTTGTCAAATTGAAAACGCAGTCATATAAGGAAAAGGCTAAGTACTGCACGAATAATAAAAAAAAAATGTTAGTGCTCAATTTGTGAAAGATGTCACTGTAAGCAGGATAATCTTCCAAACATCAAAGCAAAAATGAAGACGAAATTTTTTTTTTTAAAAAAAAGCTCCAATCTTCTTGCAAGAAATTAAGTAGTTGACTTTCCAAACTAACATATCCAAATAAGAATAAACATGCAGGTGCCTTAGGATTCTACTTTATGATCACAAATAATGAATTTGGAATTTTGAAATACCACCTAACTCAGCTTGTAAAATCACTATGATGTCCCCTTGATGGTGTAAATATCCCCCAATATAGAAGAAAGGATTTACAGATGGCAGTGAAATACTGCCAAGCCTGAATCCCATGGTTATCTTGACTTCCAATGGTCCAGGAAGTAATAAACAATTATGAATCAGCCCAAGAGTGTGCATATTTCAAAGATTACGAAAGTCAAGAGAAAATTAGTCTACCTTTGAAATTTGACGTGCATTCTCAATTATGGCACGCAATTTATGTTCAGAAAGTAGGGAGCTTGCAATAGTTCCTGGTGCCATCATCTTCTTCTCATTCAATTTTGACACAGCAATTGGATCAAAGTCTGAAAAAACTTCCCTGCAAAGAACCTTATTAACAAAAATGATGGGAACAAAGTCAAGAGGAAACAGGCTACAGCTGAGGACAAAGTCTTTATGCAGCTGGCCAGTACAGATTTGAGGCTAAGAAGAATGTGAAAAAAGAAAATACAGAACTTCTACAGAGAAGAATACCTAAAAATATATCTTTTGCTTAGAATAGCTGGCCATGTGAGTTCAGCCAGAACACTTGAAAGTACAAGAAGCTCAAATAATTTCCTGCATTAGATCAAGACTTTCAAGCAAAGCATGTAAAGAAGAATTCCTTTTCAGCCAGCATAAAAAATTAGTTCAGTGTATCACATACTTGTCATCATGTACCGGAACTCCCCATTCTTCGTCGTGGAAAGTAGCATAACATGGTTCTAGTATAAACAGGTGAACTTGGTCAGAAAACTAAACTGAAAAAAAACCCAATCTAGTTCAGAACTTAACACTCAAAACAAGTGTTATGGAGGAATTTCTAGGGAAGATATGGCTGGCCCATGTGCATTTATCTTCACATCCATCAACATATCAGCGACATATCATTTAGTCACTTAGAGTTCCTAATTTTCTCTTCAACAGGCATAAACATCAAACAAAATCCATAGAAAAGGTACACATCCAATGCATGCTTTACTATATTTTGGCTAAATTCCCATATCATACTCATTTGACAATTTATATGGAAATATACATATTACGCTACCAAATGGAAGAAACTCAACATCTTAAAAGGCACCCTCAATAAGCCATAGTTCATACTCATTTGACAATTTATATGGAAATATACATATTACCCTACCAAATGGAGGTCTAAACTTAATGTAAAATCTATATATTCAAGAACTGAAATATATGAAGTTAAATGAGAATCATACAACTCTCAAATTACAAGTACAAATATATAAGGCAAGTCAAATTTGAAATGCAATACCATGCACACATTCTTGACAATAATTCAACATCCAAAAGAAACTGAAGCATCTTCCAAAAAGGCCTAATACTTAGTATAATCGTTGTGATAAATACATCAATGGGCCTGCTATTTTACAATAAGCATTAGTATGTTTCCTTAACAATTTAGGAAAAGTCAAAGAAGAACAAACCAGTATTAGGAGTGACCCAGGTACACCTCTTCTTGGACTGTGAACCATCAGGAGGGGACTCTAACGCACCATCAGAAACAACACTTCTTGGCTTTGACACATGCAGCTTCTTTCTGCTACCAAGGCTATAGGACCGAGTCAATCTTCCAGTAGATGCTCTACTATGAAATGAATCAGTGGAGGCATCAGATGAACATGAAGCATTCAGAGATAAATTAGAATGAAGTAACTGCTCATGCCGGCAGAGTAGAGAAGAAACGCTGACAGAATGCGACTGAGAAGAGGAAGTGACAATTGAGGACAACACTTGTTGGGATTTCTTCTCTTTGACTGATGCAACCTCATCCAGAAATATATCAACTTTCCTCAGTGGCTTTGAAGCTGGTTTCCTTGAACTCAAAGACCCTGTCTTGTTTCCAGCTGGTCCAAGCACAGGTCTTGCTTCTGAATCAGCAACATTCATAGACCTCAATTTGGGACCTCCAGACATTGATAATAATATAGCTTTGATTTCTTAACCCTCCAAAACAATCACCTGAAATTTTTTATCTCACCACTCCAGTGGATTCTTCAAGCTCTAATTATCCATCAGCAGCCTATAAAATTCACTGAAAGCCTCATTTTTTGTTCATTAGTTGGAGTCAGAGGAAACCATAATCAATATCACACAAACTTCGGAAAACACCAAATGCACAGTGATTTAGCTCCCCACACTCCCAAAATAGATCTCAAGTTTTTACTTCCAAAATACACTAATTGATGTAAGAACTGTCTAAGGGTATCGCTCAAAATCCTAAAATCACCCAACTACAGGCTCAAAACCCCAACTCTAAGAGCAACTAGAACACTCCAAACCCCCCATTCCTCTCAAACCCAAAATTTTAAATCAGCCCATAACCCAGAAAAAAACTTGAATCCAATGGGATATACCAACTACCAACATGACATGATCAAAAAGTCAGAAAAGTGGGTTCAGCTTTGACGACAAAGTTAGGGGTGCAAAATGGAGACAATAAAGGGTTGTATTCCATATTCCTGAAAACTTTCAAAAAAAAGAAAAAGAGAGCTTCACAGAGCCTCGAAACTCTGAGATTCCATTCTGCATTGTGGAAAACGAGAGCGCCTCTGCACTGCAAGTCTGCAACCTCAAAAGGAAAAAGCAGGTGCTTCAAAGTTCAATTTTTTTTTTTTTTCCAGTCATCCCACATGGAGGAAAAAAGCTGACACATTCCTTTGCAATTCTCATGCTTCTTTCCTATTTTCCCATAAAACAGCAGAGAAAGTTTAGTTCCCAGGAAAATGCACTGTGGCCTTGAACAAGAGTGTGTATTGAATTTTTTTTAGTACAAAAGTATGCATTGAATTCAGGGAGGGGAGGGTCATGTTTATAAATTCTTATGAATTATATTGTATATTAGGGATAGTATAAAATTATTTCATGTTTTTCTCACATAAAAAGTTATAACATCATTTTTTTTCTTTTTTCTTTTTTTAATGAATGGTGGGCTCCACCATATTATGTATCTATAGTAGGAGATACTTATCTTCTACAACTTGAGAAAAATAGAACCCATAGTATATTGTGTGTTGAAATACAATTATTAGATAGTGTAGTTTGTAAGTAAATTTTTAATATAATTTTTTCAATCCAATAACATAAGTAGGGGTAAAATTGAGCTGAGCTGAGCTCAGTCGAGCTTTGTCCCGACAAAAAAGCTCAAGCCTATGCCAAAAAATTTCAATTTGACCTGGTTCGATAGCATAGTACAAATTTAATTGTTAGCTTGGCCTGACCCATTTATAAAAAAACAAATGATCCGGCCCGACCCGTTAGTCTATTAATTTTTAACTTCCAAGTAGAATCATGAATCAACTTTACAAAATACTCAATTTTGTTGTTAAAACAAAAATCACAATTTCAACGTCCTAACGAACCATGAATCACAACAACTTATTACAATATGTATTTAAGTCACTTTCAAAAGCAAAATGTCCAAACTAAATAACATATATTTCATCAGATTGAACAAACCAATCCATACTATGTAAATTAAAATAATTTTATGAATCCCACAAACACATCATGATACTTGTAGTAGCCAAAAACTTCTCATCATCTTCTTTCTCTTGCAAATACAATTTCAAGGTTACATAAGTTGACAAACAATTTATAAATGTAGAAAACAAAAAACAAGATTAAAGAATAGAAATAAAATAAGATTAAGAACAAAAAACTTTTTGATACCTTTTATTTTTTCTTCAAGCCATATTTATTACGTAGCCAATCTCCATCACGTATTAAAGCTTGGATGGTATCTTCAGTCAAGCTAGAATGATAAGCATTAATAACTCTTTCTCCAATACTAAATGTTGATTTTGATGCTATTGTAGAGATTGGAACAAAATTTATGCCCCTCCCAATGGTGGTATTGGTGGGGATCAAACATATGTCCTTCCACCACCTACTCAGCTCACATGCATTAATTGAGCTATCAGATACTATTATGAATAATATTATTTTATTTTATTTTATTTCAAATAAATAATAAGATATAGCCCGGCCTGTAGGCTTATAGGCCCGACATATAAAAAAAACTTATGGCTTGCTTCCTAAATAGGTTTTTTTAAAAGCTTGGGTCTGTTCTATTTATCTATATATAATTGGCTGAGCCTGATCTGATATAGGCTAGGCCGTAAGTCCCTGTAAATCGGCTCAACCTACTTTCACCCCTAAACATAGATAAAAGTATAACACCACTTTTTTTATTTTTTATTATTTTAAGGTTCATTGAAGTGAGAGAATCAAAGAGTAAAAAGATGATGGGGGAGAGAGAGCATAAAAATTAATCTTTTACCGGCTGTGACCGTTACAGGCATATCGGATGTGACTTCTTCCATAACACCAATCTGCCCCTGTTTGACAGTTGACCATTAATATACCCGGGTATCCCCCTCCTTACTCGCATATATTTCACGAAATAAATCTGTTCTTACATATGTTGAATTTTACCCGAGTAAGTAAGGGGATACCCGGGTATGCAGTTATTTACCCGGGTAAGGAGGGGATACTGGGTACATCACTGCTTTAATTTTTTTTATTTTATATAATTTCCTTTTTTTGGGAGCTTCTGGGTTGGAAATGGAGTGTAAGAGAAAGAAGGAATCCACAGAATCAAACAACTTGAACCGAGCTTCGACATGATGGAGTGTAAGAGAGAGGCATCATATTTTATCCATACAATTGCCAAGATCCTAAATTTACAAAAAAAAAATTGCAGTATAAACTTGGTGGCGCAGTCACTGTAAGGGTTGAAAACAAAATAATAACAAATAAAGACATGCATCAGTGCATCTGAACCAACCGTGCATAAAAGTTTTACCAGCTCCAAGCAATATATGCAGACTCTGTATCTCTAAAGTGCCTACTTAAACTATGGCCAATGGGAAATTCCCTCTCAAGACAAGTCTACAACTCCAAGGACAAGATTTTTATCTTGACAACAGTTCTCATTAGGATTCCAATGACATATTGGAGAATAATCTTTTTGGAATTCTTGTTGAATACTGGCAGTGACCTTCCATTTTATAACAATATCTCATGGAAATGACACACTTCAGAGGTTTTGGAAAGAATAAGGCTAAATTTTTTTTGTAGTGTGCAATTGTTAAAGGTAGGAAATTAGTTTAAATAGAAGGAGAGGGTAGAAGAGGGGGCATTCTGATTTGCTATTGGCAGGAACCAAGTTAAAATATGAGAAACGTGGCTTTCGTGATTTCAGCATGCCAAGAACTCGTTTCAACACCTTATCTGTTGAGTTGTGATGGATTCAACACTGATGGGCTGGCTGCAATTGCCACTAATTTTCAGATTACCCGGGTATCCCCTCCTTACCCGGATAAATAATTCAAGCATTTTTTCATATTACGAACAATACACGGGTATCCCTTTGACTACCCGGGTAGGGTGAAATTTTCAAATTATATCTGGGTATTCCTCTGCCTACCCGAGTATTAAACGTAAACAGAAGAAGATGGGTGATATGTTTTGGTTGAAGGACGAATTAGTAATTAATTATTATATTAATGCTACAGTGGTCAAAAAGTCGTTGCCTCTTTTTCACGAAATTATTAACAGGTGCTTTGCGCGCACAACCCAACTTTACTACGCATTCGGTCCTTACTGCAATTGTGGCAATTTAATTTAGGGGAAATATTTTCTCGAAAGAATATTTTTCATGTCATTCATATATCGATTTACATGTTTTTGCTTTTTTTTTTCTTAATGATGAGACCCACTTTAAACATGTTTGTGTAAAAAAATTCTTCCTCTCATAATAGGAGAAAAACAAAGCCCTTTAATTTAACTACTCACCTGTGTTTATTAGGAACGTTCAATAAAAGATTGTGAAACAGTTTCGTATCTTAAGGAGAAAGGGCAGCTTCTAGTAAATAGGCGTGTTAAAACATGTTATGACATGCAGATTGACCCGCGACACCCGCTATATGACATGAAAATTTGTATTTGGATTAACTCACAAAAAAGTTCGTGTCATGCTCGTTTTGGAAAGGATATTAGATGGGAACGAAAATTTTGGTAGCATTTATTTATTTTTAATTTTTTGCTTTTAATTTTAAATCTCAAATTTTTAATTTCTTTGGTATAAATGAAACAAAACCTTTGCAATAAATATTATGAGCTCGTTTGGTGGACATGATAGGTAAGAACGGATAGGATAAGGGAGTTGGATAAAGATAGGATATGATATGGGACTGATAAGCCAATATCATGTCTTGTGTTTAATGGCCACCTGATTAACAATCTGATAAGATTATGTTATCCTATCATGTGTTTGAGGCGAACCAGATATCATCACCATATGAACAAATAGACTAAAATACCTTTTTTAACATAACGTCATATAATTTATCAAAAACTACTTTTTAAATTTTTTAAATTTATTTATACAATACAATTCTAACAATTATAATTTTAAACAACATATTTTTAATTAAAATTTTCACTCTTAAAACTTTTTCTCTCTCTTCAAGCGAGTATTTCTCTTTCTTCTTCCTTCAGTTCTGTTCCTGACTTAAGTTTCTTTCTTTTGTTTCTTTTTTAAGTTCCATTGGCCAAATTTAATCACAAGAGGTTGTTGAGGATTCAGTCTCCGCCGACCACCGCTTGAAGACTCTTCCTCTTATGAGTTTTTTTTCTCCCAAATCTAAGCCGCCATAAATCTGGGTTTTTTTTTTCACCTGAATCGCTTCAATGGTGGAAACGTTTGTCTCCACTAATCTTATGCGTTTACACGTCGATCCCAACCAGTTTGAGAGAAAAAATGATCTCAAGTACGATTCAGATCCTATTGGGTAGCGTGGGGATATACTGGGTATCCAATATTGATATCTTATCTTGTTGAATCCTGCTCCAGCTCCCCCTATAGGATAAGAAATCATGTATTGGATAGGATAAAATGAGACAATAGGATA